ACGAGATAAAAGTCGTGTTTCGAGAAAAAAACGCGTTAAATTTTGAAAAAAATAAATTGTTGAGAATAAACTCATATTACGAGAAAAAAGTCGTGTTTTGAGAAAAAACGCGTAAAATGTTGAGAAAAATAAATTGTTGAGAATAAACTCATATTACGAGAAAAAAGTCGTGTTTCGAGAAAAAACGCGTAAAATTTTGAGAAAAATAAATTGTTGAGAATAAACTCATATTACGAGAAAAAAGTCGTGTTTCGAGAAAAAACGCGTAAAATTTTGAGAAAAATAAATTGTTGAGAATAAACTCATATTACGAGAAAAAAGTCGTGTTTTGAGAAAAAAAAATTGGTTACATTTTGAGAAAAAAGTTGAAATAAAATGTTGAGAAATAAACTAATTATATTACGAGAAAAAAGTTGTTGTGTTTCTAGAAAAAAAAATTGGTTCAATTTTGAGAAAAGTTTAAATAAAATGTTGAGAATAAACTCATTAAATTATGAGGAAAAAAAGTCTAAATAAAATGCTGTAATGTTCATTTTCTCGTGCTCTTTTTCCTATTTCCATCTCATATCACATCGGAAAAATGGAAATCAATTGCCTAACGAGTGTTTAATAATGATGTATTAATTGGGTAGGTTTAGGTGTAGGTAGGCTTTGTACCAATAAGGCAGCGTGTATTTAATAATGTTAATTAATAAAATCATTTACACTCTATGTTATTATTGTATCCTGTTAATGTACAACAATACTGAGGTGCAAATAGTATCTGTCACTATTTATAAGTATAAATAGCATCTAATTACTATTTACACTTATTGCAAAGTTCTGCTGCTTTTACATAGCGTAAATAGAATCGCTATTTTCACTTACTGTAAATATCATCTATAAATAGCACATCGCTATAAATGCTGCTGCTGTCACTTAGTGTAAATAGAATATATCACCATTTTCACTTAGTGTAAAAAGCATCCGATGTGTTATGTTATGAAAAAAGGAAGAAGAGTGAGATCTGCGAAAGACGGATTTGAACTCTGGTCGACCGCATCATTTACTTCATGCACGAGCATCGCTCTCTACGACCTGCGCCACTGCAGACGCTGATTAACACTCTCCAACGAGATCAGATGAACATGACACCTGTGTGTTTATTCTCAACAGTTTATTTAGACATTTTTTCTTGAAATGTAATGCGTTTTTTTCTCTAAACACGACTTTTTTCTCGTAATTTAATGAGTTTATTAAACATTTAATTTCGACGTTTTCTTCTTGAAATGTAACGCGTTTTTTTCTCTAAACATGACTTTTTTTCTCGTAATTTAATGAGTTTATTCTCAACATTTTATTTCAAGCTTTTTCCTCGAAATGTAACAATTTTTTTCTTGAAACACGACTTTTTTCTCGTAATTTAATGTTTATTCTCAACATTTTATTTCAAGCTTTTTTCACGAAATGTAACGAGTTTTTACTCAAAACACAACGACTTTTTGTCTTGTAATATAATGAGTTTGTTCTCAACATTTTATTTAGACCTTTTTTTCTCGAAATTTAAAGATTTTTTTTCTCGAAACACAACGACTTTTTTCTCGTAATATGAGTTTATTCTCAACAATTTATTTTTCTCAAAATTTTACGCGTTTTTTCTCGAAACACGTCTTTTTTCTCGTAATATGAGTTTATTCTCAACAATTTATTTTTCTCAAAATTTTACGCGTTTTTTCTCGAAACACGACTTTTTTCTCGTAATATGAGTTTATTCTCAACAATTTATTTTTCTCAACATTTTACGCGTTTTTTCTCAAAACACGACTTTTTTCTCGTAATATGAGTTTATTCTCAACAATTTATTTTTTTCAAAATTTAACGCGTTTTTTTCTCGAAACACGACTTTTTTCTCGTAATATGAGTTTATTCTCAACATTTTATTTCGACTTTTTTTCTCGAAATTTAACGAGTTTTTTCTTGAAACACAATGACTTTTTTCTTGTAATATAATGAGTTTATTCTCAACATTTTTTTCAACTTTTTTTCTCGAAATTTAACGAGTTTTTTTTCCGAAACACAACGGCTTTATTCTCGTAATTTAATTATTTAATTCTCAACATTTTATTTCGAAATTTTTCTTGAAATTTTACAAGTTTAATCTCGCATTATAATGACTTTAATCTCAAGATGTTTTTTTTTTATTATTATTATTATTGCTTGGCCCTAATCCTCTTCCGTAGTTTCATCACTTTAATGTGTGTGCCAGTTAGTGTTGTTGAGATATAAAGTAAGTGCGGTTGTTTAACTTTTCGGGGTTTTTTTGGACTCACAGCTCCACTGCAGCTGCCGATGCGCTCTGTGCTGCCTGCGGTGTGAGGAAGCCCAGAGCTGTGAAGTCCTGTCTGATCTGCGCTGCGTTCTACTCCGAGACCCACATCAGGCAGCGCTACGCAGAACCAGCCCTGCACACACTGGTGGAGGAGACTGGAGCTCTGGAGAAGGATTCACACCAACTAGTGGATGATGTCTTGCAGAGAGTCAAAGAGAAACACAAAACCAGCATGAAAGGGAAGTATGAGAGCTTATCTGAAGGAATCAAGCTACAAGAGAACCAAACCCTCCTGAACAGCATCTACACACAGCTCTACATCATCGAGGGAGAACGAGAAGGAGTGAATGAAGAACATCAACGGCTTTATTCTCGTAATTTAATTATTTAATTCTCAACATTTTATTTCGAAATTTTTCTTGAAATTTTACAAGTTTAATCTCGCATTATAATGACTTTAATCTCAAGATGTTTTTTTTTTATTATTATTATTATTGCTTGGCCCTAATCCTCTTCCGTAGTTTCATCACTTTAATGTGTGTGCCAGTTAGTGTTGTTGAGATATAAAGTAAGTGCGGTTGTTTAACTTTTCGGGGTTTTTTTGGACTCACAGCTCCACTGCAGCTGCCGATGCGCTCTGTGCTGCCTGCGGTGTGAGGAAGCCCAGAGCTGTGAAGTCCTGTCTGATCTGCGCTGCGTTCTACTCCGAGACCCACATCAGGCAGCGCTACGCAGAACCAGCCCTGCACACACTGGTGGAGGAGACTGGAGCTCTGGAGAAGGATTCACACCAACTAGTGGATGATGTCTTGCAGAGAGTCAAAGAGAAACACAAAACCAGCATGAAAGGGAAGTATGAGAGCTTATCTGAAGGAATCAAGCTACAAGAGAACCAAACCCTCCTGAACAGCATCTACACACAGCTCTACATCATCGAGGGAGAACGAGAAGGAGTGAATGAAGAACATGAGGTTTTACAGATGGAGAAAACACCCAGAACACAACACTCACAAGACACTCCAATCAACTGCAATGACATTTTTGATCCCTTACCTGAACCAGGCTATGAGAAGAATAACAGAATGAGGAAAGACAAAATCAAGACTGTTCTTACTAAAGGCATCGCTGGAATCGGAAAAACCGTCTCTGTGCAGAAGTTCATTCTGGACTGGGCCGAGGGAAAATCCAATCAGGATGTAGATTTCATGTTTGTGCTCACATTTCGAGAGCTGAACTTGATTCGAGATCATCAGTACAGTCTTCACAGACTTCTGCTGGACTTTCAACCTGGACTTCAAGATCTGGACCCAAAGGTATATGATCTATATAAAGTTGTGTTCGTTTTTGACGGTCTGGATGAAAGCAAAATTAAACTTGAGTTTTCAGATGCTCAGAAAGTGTCTGATGTGACTGAGACTTCATCATTGGGTGTGTTGATGTCAAAGCTCATCAAAGGGGATCTGCTTCCATCTGCTCTCATCTGGATCACCTCCAGACCAGCAGCAGCCAGTCAGATCCCCTCCAAATACATCAACCGTCTGACAGAAATTCAGGGATTCAGTGACCCTCAAAAGGAGGAGTATTTCAGGAAGAGAATCAGTGACCAGCATCAAGCCAGCAGAGTCATCTCACACATTAAAGCAGCAAGAAGCCTCCACATCATGTGCTACATCCCAGTCTTCTGTTGGATCTCAGCCACTGTGCTTCAGAGCATCATGAAACAAGATCACTGTGCGGAAGTCCCCAAAACTCTGACTGAAATGTACATACACTTCTTGATTATTCAGACAAATGTAAGAAATCAGAAGTATGATGAGAAAGACGAGAGAGATCCACGGAAGCTCCTGCAGTCAAACAGGGGAGTGATTGTGAAGCTTTCCGAACTGGCTTTCAAACAACTGATGCGTGGAAATATCATGTTCTATGATGAGGACCTGAGAGAGTGTGGCATAGACGTCACTGAGGCCTCGGTGTATTCTGGGATTTGCACTGAGATCTTTAAGGAAGAATATGTGATTTATCGGAGGAAAGTCTACTGCTTCATACACCTGAGCTTTCAGGAGTTTCTTGCAGCCTTTTATGTCTTTTACTCCTATGTAAGTACCACTTCTGATGCCTTGAAAGTTTTTGATTTACTTCATAATTTGCATAAAGGAGTACTGGATAAAGCTCTAAAGAATGAGAATGGACGCATGGATCTTTTCGTCCGGTTCCTGCTGGGCATCTCACTGGAGTCCAATCAGAGACTGTTACAGGGGCTACTGACACACACGGAGGACAGCTCGGAGAGCATCAAGGAAACCATAAAGTACATCAAGGACAAAATCAAAGAATGGAAAAACACTCTTTCAGCTGAAAGATCCATCAATCTGTTCCTCTGTCTGCTTGAAATGAACGATCAGACTCTGCAAAGAGAGATTCTGGAGTTTCTGAAATCAGACGAACACTCAGAAAAAGAACTGTCTGCTGCGCACTGCTCAGCCATAGCCTACATACTTCAGATATCAGAGGAGGCACTGGATGAGCTGGACCTTAAGGAATACAACACATCAGAGGAAGGTAGAAGGAGACTGATACCAGCTGTGAGAAACTGCAGAAAATCTGTGTGAGTACACATTTCTACGAGAGTCACATTTTGTGTTGTCAGTGCAATTAATAATGTGACACTGGAGTCCTGAGACAAATATTGTCCGATCCTAACAAACCATACATCAATGGAAAGCTTATTTATATAATATAAAATTGACCCTTATGACTGATTTTGTCGTCCAGGGTCACATATTGCTTAACACAACTTTTGGTGTAAGTAGCTTGCCTTTTAGTAACATGAGAAGTGCTGCATAACAGTTTCGAAATCACTTAGAAAAGTGCAAGTTAAAGGGGTCATATGATGCGATTTCAAGTTTTCCTGAGGGGCGTAACATTTCCGTCACACGCTTGAGGTATTCGGCCAATCACAATGCACTGGATAGCTGGCCAATCACAGCACACCTCGCTTTTCAGACCGATGAGCTTTGTAAAAATCACGCGTTTCAGAAGGCGGGGCATAGAGGAGAAACAATAATGTACAGTATGTGGAAAATAATGTGTTTTTTGAACATTAAACCACATAAACACATTTCATTACACCAAATACACAAAATAATGTTCTTTTTAGCAGCATCATATGACCCCTTTAAGACAGGAACAGTGAAAAAGTGTTTTGTATGAGAAGTGCATTAAAAGGTAAGTTAACCCTTTAGAGCCTGAAGTTAAAATAGGTAGTTTTTACATATTTTATTTTTTTTGACTGTAAAATTCTAAAACAATATGCTATTTTCAAATGCAAGGTGTCATTTTTTTTAAATGTTTTTCTATCTTTCAGTCTTGCAGACTGCAATATCACTGATCAGTGCTGTGAAACTGTGGCGTCAGCTCTACAATTATCAGACTCTCCCCTGAGAGAGCTGGACCTGAGTAACAATGACCTGCGGGATTCAGGAGTGAAGCTGCTCTCTACTGGACTAATGAGCCCAAACTGTCAACTGCAGATACTGAGGTATTTAGGAATTAAATGTAGATTAAAATAAAACCTGAAGTTAAAATATATAGTATATATATATATAGTATATAGTCACATCTCAAATCAGCTACATGTTTCTAGCAATTGTTGCAAATTGTTGCGGACTGTAGACTGTTCGAATAACCTCAACTTGATGTCTGTTTTTAAAGATTGTCTGGCTGTATGGTGACACAGGAGGGCTGTTCTCATCTGGCCTCAGCTCTGAGTTCAAACTCCTCACATCTGAGAGAGCTGGATCTGAGCTACAATGACCCAGGAGATTCAGGAGTGAAGCTGCTCTCTGAGAGACGGAGCCATCCAAACTGCAAACTAGAGATACTCAAGTATGTAGCATAACAGTGATGATGTGATCTGTGTAAACTAAGTTATGACTGTGTAAAATAATTAACTATTATTATTATTACAAATAAAAACATCCAAAATATAGCCAAAGTAATATTTTTTCAGATTTAGTTAACTTCTGGAAACAAAGTATGCACACCTAGGTCATGACTCCCACTTGTCACAGTTGTTTTTATATTAGAACATATTCTTAACCAATTGAAAAAAAAACAGCTTGCACTGTTGTCAAAATTCAAATGTTTGGCACAAATGTAATATTGTGTTCTTGTAGTTTGGACCATGGAGGATATTTCAGAATCACACCAGGACTACACAAATGTAGGTCATTTTGTTGTGTTTACACACACACACACACACAAACACGCTCTCGCACACACACACACACACACACACACTCACACACTCACACTCACACTCACACACACACACTCACACACACAGTCTGGTCAGCTATCCTTGTGGGGACTCTCCATAGGCGTAATGGTTCACACACTCTCTCTCTCTCTCTCACACACACACACTCACACACACACTCACACTCTCACACACACACACACACACTCTCTCTCACACACACACTCTCACACACACACACACTAACACACACGCTCTCTCTCTCTCTCACACACACACACATACTCACACACACACACACACACACACACACTCTCTCTCACACACACACTCACACACACACTCTCTCACACACTCTCACACACACACTCTCTCTCTCTCTCACACACACACTCATACACACACTCACACTCTCTCTCTCTCTCACACACACACACACACACACACTGTGTCTGTCATAGATCATAAGAGATATAATTAAAATCTCTCTCCTTGTGTGCAGACACCTGTAATCTCACACTGGACATAAACACAGCAAACAACCATCTCTCTCTGTCTGAGGGGGAAAAAAAGGCGACACGAGTGGAAGAGGAGCTGCCTTATTCTGATCACCCAGAGAGATTTGACTGCTTTGAACAAGTTTTGTGCAGAGAGAGTCTATCTGAACGCCATTACTGGGAGGCTGAGTGGAGTGCGAGGGGAGCTGGATTGTCAGTGATGTATAAGGGAATCCAAAGAACGGGAAGCGACTGTAGGTTTGGCCTCAATGAAATGTCCTGGAGTCTGGTCTGCTTTGATAACAAATACTCTGCCTGGCACAGCAATAAGAGAACCAACTTGCTTGCCCCTTCTTCCTCCTCTAATAGAGTAGGAGTGTATCTGGACTGGCCAGCCGGCAAGCTGTCCTTCTACAGTGTGTCTGACACACACACACTTACTCACTTACACACATACCACGCCACATTTACCGAGCCCCTCTATGCTGGAATTAGGCTTTATCCAGATTCTTCAGTTTCACTGTGTTAGAATGAAGAGCTTCGTAATATAAATATTATTTATATAACCCTACTTACGTTTTGCACATTACTAGTGTGAGTGAAGATTTCATTGGTGTATGTTATTCTAAAGCAAAAAATAAAATCTTAAAATTGAATACAGATCATGGAGTTATCCATACAATAATCTGAACTGTGCACTCGGCGGGCACTTTGAGAAAAATCTCAATTTAATTCAGAAAAATACACCATTCACTCCATAGCTCATAATTTTTGAATGGACAAATAATGTGAAAAGTGTAAAATGTGACAGCTCTGAGAATTTATTGTGATATTTTGTGATAAAAATGGTCGGTTATTTTCATGATATGATTGAACCACATGCATTATTATTGCAAATGGACAAAAGGAGAACATTAAACACTCAAGATCTTTCCACTGTCGCCTCAAAAAGCATTTGACTGAAATGGAAGGTGAACAATGTGTTCTT